TAGCATAAGGTATGCTGATTTTAAATATGCCCTAGTCTACCATCATAAGCAGGTAAATAAAAGGGAAGAAAGACGTGGGGTTGGAAGACATACACACACTCACGCACGCTTATTACATAATTACCCTCACTCGGAGGGTCTAAATAAATATTACAGTTCGAATATTAAACGCATAAATTATTACAAAATTTCTAATTAATTGACTGAATGAATGCAAACCCTCTGCACTGACTGTTGAACTGATGCCCTCTGCCTAGTTGTCCTCCGTCTAGTAACCGGGGGTAGAGAGTGGTACACTGGTTGTCCGTCTAGCAGATCCTCAGATCGATGGAGCCGACGACCTTTAATCCAGAGTGCTTAGGGAATATCTACCGGGTTGGAAGCAATGATGCTAAACTACCTAGCAAAAAGATAAATAAAGCAGTAAATAAACTAACAATCGGACAGCACAACGGCGTAAAATAAACACATATAACGCACAGTTGGGTATTCATAATACACAGTTGGTAAGCTGAACACACTGTTCCTCGATACTGATCACTATTCCCCAGAATCACTGTTCCCAAAACTGAACCTGATACCCGCAGATAACTGATTCTCAAAAACTGATACTGATGCCCTCAGGTCTAATACTCAATCTTGCAAACTGATATGTACGTTCCTGGAAAGAAACACTCTAAAAGCACATAGCAAGTAAAGAGAGCCAAAACACCCCTATGTTGGGGTAGGGTTTCCCTGTCCTATTTTGTCAGGAGCTAGGGTTTCACTATGCATGCAGCAGTTTTCAAACAACTTAGCATCGGGTAAGCAACCTGTCCCAGCTTGGAATGGTCACTATGGATCCGAATATGCACTAGGTCGAATGGTCAAAAAGGGTGCCCCGGTAAAACCAGGGTTTGTGTTCCCATACTGTCAGAGCCCATAACCGGTCAGCCTTATGGTCATGCCTTGACAAGACAAGCCTCCGGAAAATCGTTCAGGAATGACAGATGGCAAACACTGTGTTCCTAGGCGCACCAATGCACATGCAATGCAAAGAAACACATAGATGGAATCAAAAATAAGATATCACGAGTTCGAGTCAAGCTCTCTAAATCCCCAGCAGAGTCGCCAGAAACTGTAGACGCGCCCGCGTGGGGGGGCCTCGCTACTACAGTTTGGACTCGATTTTGTGTCACGGTTCTTAATCTTAACCAAAGAGTCCAAATCTGGCAAATCATTTTGAGAAACAGATTTTTTTTGAAAAGAAATGCCAAACATGGACTGCTTTGCCAGATACAGAGTCGCCACCTAAATATTTTTTTATGGGGAATTTAGGAAACCCTGACTCAGTGCCAAAAAGCCACGTGTCCGTCATCACCAAAGCTGCCTCGGCTCGGGAACTTGGGTACGATTGGGGAAGGTCACTTCGTGAGCACCCCCGCTCGCCCGATCAAAGATCGGCCTCTACCATACTTGAAGCATACAAGCTCAAATACAAAGGAGCTATACTACGCATGCGAAGATCGGCCTCTACTAACCGTGATATCCGTTTTTGAAAACATTATGTGTTTTTATTCCATTTATTAGCCTAGAATTACTATGTTATGCGCACAGCAAACAAGTATAGACTAGATTGCCTAATTTGGAAATAAGCATTGCATATCCGTTGTCTTGGAAAAATGTTTTGGAATTTGCTACTCGCAAGTAGGCTAAAACACGGATTTCAACGAGTGTTTCCAACTCAGGCAATCCAACCTTCACTAACAGGCATTCAAACAGTTTATCACATAAGCATCTAGCCACATGGTAAGCATGCTGTCATGATAGCATTCACACGCACGAGATATGCTAAAACATAAATGCTTACCGAGTACTCCGAGCCAAAACAATAAACTAGTTAACCAACATGCATGGTCCTAGTTCATGTCAAATTGACTAATGCAACACATGCAGGATACAATTAGAATAGGCTCGGGTAACCTAAACATGGCATGTGAAAATGCACAAGTAGCATGTATTCAAGTTAGATTTGAAATACTAATGCAGTTAGCATGATGCGCCGAGCCCGGTGCATGCAATACTGATGAATGATGCACGCATGCATAGCATAAGGTATGCTAAATTAAACATGCCCTAGTCTACCATCATAAGCAGGTAAATAAAAGGGAAGAAATACGTGGGGTTGGAAGACATACACTCACGCACACTTATTACAAAATTGCCCTCACTCGGAGGGTCCAAATAAATATTACAGTCCGGATAATAAACGCATAAATTATTACAGAATTTCTAATTAATTAACAGAATGAATACAAAAAGAAAGTTGGCCACAGCCCCCGCCTTGGGATGCGTGAATGATGCATGCTCGAATCTGTCTCGCCCGGAAAGTCCGTACCATACCACTGCCGCCTCTGTTTACACTGCCCTGCTTCTCTAAAAATTTCCAAAGTTCTGGGACAGGTTCCTTGCACACTATAGAATACCATCGGCTGGAGGAAATGCCCACCGGCCATAGGTAATTTCCATCGGCTGCTGATGGAGTTATCGGCCATTCACAAATGGCCGGTCGGCATTGGATGCTGCCGGTCGGCAGAAACTTCCTGCAGAAGACAGTTTTGACAGCAACAGAGGACAGACAGTATATGGCATGGGATTTCAGGCACATGTAAGCATAGTTATGCTCCCCATCATGCTTTGAACTCAGGGAAGCATGGCCTTCGATTCTCGAGCCATCAATGGTGCATGATAGCCCAAGAGATCAAGCTTGCCATTTGATTGTAAAATGCATGCAACACACAATGAGGACCAAGACCCTATCATGTCCGAAGTCAAATGGCCCCGGGAACCGAGAGTTAAGACGGGTTACATCACTTATAGTAAATGAACGCTCCTTAACCCTCACAGCTTAAGTTTCGACACCCCAAACCAAGTAATCGCAATGCATTGTTTATGCAAAACATGAACTCAAAGATACAACATGAAGATTAAATATGCAGGCATGCCAAAATGCCATGCAAACTACAATGGCAAGTATGCAACTGCTAGGCATGCAAGATGCAATGCAAATGCAAACATGGACAATTTAAGCAAATAAGATCATCCATGGTTACAGAACACCTAATGAAGCAATCATGAGCAACAAACCATGAAACAGCATGCAATAGTAGAACTTAAACCATAAAGGGGACAGACCTCAATCCACCCCAAAACAGTGGCCAAAGTGCCCAAAATGGTGGACAAACACTCATGCCAATACCCCAGCCAATGGACCTAAAACTAAGGCACAAAAGGGGACACTTTTACTTCACTTAACATGACCCATTCATTGGCTGAAATTAGACAAGCAAAACAGAAACTTAGTATGGCAAAAATGGACTCGCAACTCACTGATGTGGTAGCCTATAAGTGGGCTCCAATGAGATGCATGCACCAAAAAACTCATTTTTGAGCATAAAAGAGGGCACCGCTTCAAGCATGAGAGGTCACATATGCAAACATACAAACATGATTTATGGACGAAATATGATCCTAATGATGCCAATCATGAGGATGGTCATAAGTTATCATTGCTAGAGGCCTAAAAATATATCAAAGCTTTAACAAGCCAAACACAAAGAGATGACACAACATGGCAAGCATGAACTTGAAAACAGATGGCCAACAGGCCTTAAACATGGTAAAGTAATGCCAATACCTTCATGAAATTAGGCTAACACATGCAAGAATCATGGCCTAAACACAAGATGCATTTCTAGGCCAAATAGAGGAATGTAAAGCAAGTATGTTAAGCATGCAAAAGGGGACAAATCCGACCAAAAACAGAGGTAACATATGACCTAAAAACACCCAAAAACCTTTGAAAAATGGCCAAAATCAATCAAGCATGCATGTTACCCTTTAAGCCAAAAGGCAAGGAAAAGAGGTAATGAAGGGAGAGGGGTGTCCCTCCCCTCTACAAGACTTCAAACCACCTTCCTCACCACTAAAAATCCACTGGTTTTCAGTGGTGAGAAGGCTAAGACACTCAAGAAAACAAGGCCTTACAAAGGAAGCACCAAAAAGGCCAAATAAGGCCTAAGAGGGTGAGTTTGAACTCAAACCACAAAACACCCTTAACGAAAGTTCTTAAGCATGAAAATATACGCTTTTTTTATGTTATGCACAAAGCCTAAATCAGCAAGCAAGACAGGTAAAAAACTAGTGCAAGTTTGGGAAAACTAAAGCAAAGTGATTACCCTTGAAGATCCTTTGAAGAACAGATGATGCAGCCCTCTTCTTTTGATCAAAACTAGTCCAAAAACTCAACAAACAACCCTCAAAGTGCCTCAAAGTCGAAGTAAGGTGTGGTAGTGTGTGTGTTAGTGCAAAACTAAGGTAGAAATGCACTTTAAGGCCACCAAACACACACCAGGGAGGAGAGAGACGGAAATATAGAGAGAGAGTGTATGTATATGTATAAGCTCTGGTTTTCTCTTCAAACTTGCCAACCTAGAAGAAGGAGGAGAGCCTTCCTCTTATAGAAATCCCCCTTGCAAAGCTTACACAACAAGCTTGCTTAGAGGGAAATCCCTCCATGCACGTGTATGGAGGGGAACAGAGTTGGTGCCAGCTATCACAGCTGGCACAAAATATCTACATAAAGTAGATGAATAGTAGTCGGCTGCTCAAAATTTCCATTTTGACAAAATGGACTGCCGACCGGCAATATACATTGCCAATGGCAACAAAACACCAGCCGGTGGCCTCTGGCCATGGCCGGTGATGTGTGGGGATGCCTCACAAGGCATTCCTTGCCCCTCCAAGGCAAAACACAAGTGTTTGGTGCAAAACCAGACACTAAACAGTCGAGTTCGGAGATCCTGAGGCAAGGCGCGTAGCCGGGACCTCCGGGAACTCCAAACAAATACAAATATGGATAATCACCGGGTGTTCAAACGGTGACGTCCAAGTCTTGAGGACGTCAAAAATGGGGTGTCTACAGACCCAGCTAGTTATTTCCGCAACCATCATCTTAAGAGTGGAAGATAAACAACTTGGTCTTATGGGTTTCGACAGGGATTGGGTTTCTTTTGTTGTTCTCTTCTTTTTGAAGCTAGCTGTGGTTCGATCCTGTTGGTCTAATAGCAAGAATATGTATATATAGTTTTGGTTTTGGCATTTTGGCCAAGCATCTTTTATTTTTAAATATTGTGTCTTCTCTTATGTTGTAATGCAAAATCAATCCCTCTGCTAAATTATGTGAAAATCTTTCCTGTGGATGAATCTTCATTTTTGAATCAGTATGTTTGGATTGGGTGATTTGATAATGAAAAAAACCAAAAAAAAGTAACCCGTGTTTCCTACCCATGTTCCCCACCGCCGCCGACAATTCCTTGGACTTCTCTACTGCATAGTTCATCAGACTCCCTGCTCCCATCTCTTTCTCGTTTTCTCTCAGCATCACCCTCACATAGTTCATCACTGAAATCACTGCTCTCTCTCTCTCTCTCTCTCTCTCGTTTGATTATGGCCCATTTTTAAAAAATTGAGTTTTTTTTTTGTTTTCTGAGTATTTTTATTTCCACTATATTTTTTTAATATTTTAAATAATTTTTTTTTTCTTTTTATTAGTTACATCTAATCTGGTTACAATTAAAAAGTATAAAATTTGCAAAGAAAATCTTTTAAAAACTTATTACTTTAAAAAAAAAAAAAACCAAACCGAAATTTAGTATTTTTTTTGTATTTCTCTTGTATTTATTGCTTTTTTTTAAATTATGGATTTCTTCACAAATTTTGTATTTTTTAAGTACATCTAGATTATTTGTATCTAAAAAAAATGATTAAAATATGAAAAAAAATCCACCAAAACATAACATATACAAATTCAAGCTCAAAAAATAATTTTTGAAAACTCAAAACTAAATAGGGTACACAACTTAGAGGTGAAGCAACTTCTTCCTCTTTTCCTTTTTCTTTTTCTTTACTTTATGATTCTCTTTAGATTAAGGATTTGAAGAGTAATGTGTGGAGAGGAAGTGCAAAAGAATGATTTCATAAATTCTTACTCAAATTTATTATCCAAACATAGTTTTACGATAAATTATACCGATTTGACTAATTAATAAATTATTATTCAATAACAATTTTGGTAAAATTATACCACCTTTTTTTGCAATATAAATTTGATAATGTTTTATCTTTTTACACGTGGTGGCACAAGAATAATGCGACAGAAAAGTATAGGCTAGTGGGATAGAGGATCTGAAGCCCTTTTCTACATGGCAGAGGTTTTGCTTTATTTCTTTATTTCTTTGTGGATTGATTAAAGAATGGCACTGACGATAGTCATGTTCCACCATAGTTTAGTTTGCAACCATGCTAGAGACCTCGAGGATTCGAGACTCATGCCTTGAATCATTTTTTATTTTTTTTTGGCTATGTTAGTTGGTTTATTTATTTATTTATTTTGAAAGGTGGTTATGTATACCCTAAATCCTAAACCTTAAATTATAAATCCTAAATTGTAAATCATAAAATTCTAAACCTTAAACCCTAAACCCCAAATCTTAAATCCTAAATGCTAAATCCTAAAATCCTAAACCCTGAACCTTAAACCCACTCCTACACATAACGACCCTTGCAAAAAAAATAAAACAATTTCGAGGCATTTGCGCCTCGAACTCAATCTTTATTCTTTAGCTTGGTATCTTTAGTTTGGTAGTGGATATCATTATTCATGTTGACCATTTTTTATCATAAAATTTTAGAAAAAATTACAATTCAGTAGATAAGAAGAAAAAAAATTACAAAAACATGGGAGGGGTGCAACTTTGCACCCCAGTTATTTTTGAGTTGCACCCTAGAGTTTTTGAGTTACACCCACTATATTTTTGTAATTTTTTTCCTTCTAACTGAACAGTAATTTTTCCAAAATACTATTAAACATTGACTAAGAAATCATTGATTAGTGCTGCTACTTCTAACTGTACTAGGAATAATCAATTAACTTTAAAAGGACCCAATCCTAATCCGAGAACTGTCCTAGTCTTATTTTTAATGTCCAAAATGTGTTAGTCATTAAACTAAAAAAAAATATACAAAAATATCTAAAATTTAATTTGACTGCGATTCAAATTCACACCAAATTTAAATTAACAATATAAAATCTTAATATTTTTTCTGGTAACATAGAAATGGGCCTAACCACTTTCATCAATTATGGTGCTGCTTTTGCTTTCAGAAAAAAAAAATGACACTTAAAAAAGACTCAATGTCAATCCAAAATCAATAAATCTACTCACCCATAAAATGGGTAAAGAATTTGTCAAGAATGGGAATGTATGGGTGAGATTAGATGAGTGTAATGTAGGGTCCATATGTACAATAAATCTTGATCACATAGGGTTTGTTTGGTAATGTTTACGTTTTCAGTTTATATTTACAAAAATTTTATAAATTGGTCTTTGTTTTTTTTTTTTTGTTTATTTTTAGAAAAACCTAAACTACAAACGCATTTGGTAAATGATAAAATGTTTAAAAAAATTTACAAATATAAAAAAGAGTGAGAAATGGCACGTGGTGGCAAGTGGCAGCGGAAGACGATGGTGGAAAGTGGTGACGGTGGGTGGTAGGTAACGGGTGGGTGGTGGTGGTGGGGGGTGGGTGACGGTAGCGAGTGGTGGGCGGTGGGTGGTGGGTGGTGGAGATGGTGGTGGAAAATGGTGGCGGGTGGGGGCTAGTGTTGGGGGGTAAAAAAAAAAAAAACGAAAACCCCAACCAAAAAACCCAAAAAAAAAAAAAAAAAAAAACTAAAAAAAAAAAAAAGAAAAAAACAAAAAACCAAGGTTAAAATTCGTCACAAAATAAATATATAACTTGGTTATATGGTGAAATTTTGAAATAGTAGCAATTCTTCTCCATTATTGAGCTTTGATATCACATGGTTGGAAGTTAGAAACAGAAATGTATATTTATGACAATGTATAATGATTGAAAATATTACATATAATTTTATTTTTTATCGTATTTTCTCAATTTTAATCATAAGTAGTAAATTTTTTATGTGTACTTATTAATGTGGTCTTATTGTCATGTATAAATAGGGTAAAAAATAAATTTATTTGTGTGGTGCTCTTCGACAATAAAGAATTGCAAAATATAGTAATAGGTTATTAATTTCTTATCTTTCAATAACTAAATAAAAACCGATTAATATTGTCCCACCCATAAAAAAATTGTTGAGGGAATTTCAAATAAATGAGAAACAAAGAAATTAATTATAAATTAATAAAATGTAAGTAAACCATATGTTCCTGTGCCTCAATGCATGTGAGAGCTATTCATAACACAGTTCTCTTTTTTACCTAACTTGTAATTACATGCTCTATTTCTTTTTATCTAATACTTTCTTTAAAATGTTTTCAAGTTTGTTCTGAAGATATTTCGATTGAGTATTTTATGATAACTAATTTAGACACAAGAAACAGTGTTACCATACACCAAAAAGAAAGAAAACTGTCGATTTTTGTAAAACAAAATATTAAATTTGAAATTTTGTTGATTAGAAAGATGGTAGTCATAATCAAATCAGAATTAGAAGTTGATAGAAGAGTATTTCTTTAAATGTGTTTTGTTTTATGGAGTAGCACATCTAAGGACATCTGTGCTATGTCTTGTTCTTAGTTTGGTAGAACTATTTCTCATCAAAAATAAATAAATAATGACATATAAATAGAATTCTCACATATGATCGGTTTGTGTGACATAAATATTAATGTTGGAGTGATCATATTTGTAAATTATATAATACAATGTCTTATATGGTACTAATCAGATTGTCCATTAATTTTATTTGGGCAAATTATACAAATAATCTTTATAGTTTGGGCCTTGTATTACTTTGTCTCTGACTTTTCAATTGTGACATATTTGACCTTGAATTTTAAATCTTGTTTCAAATAAGGACAATTGAAATTATCATTGTTTAATTTCAATGGCAAAATCATCAATTTAATAAAATATAAACTAATTTGACAAAAATAAACGTCAAAAAAATATTTTTAATTTTTTTTTCCACCAACGATAAAATTATGTAAAATTGATACAAATTAATAAAAATTACATGATTAATTTTTAAAAATTAATTTTACATGATCATTATCCAAACGAATAAAAAAAATTAATTTGGTAAAAAAAAATAAATGTTTCCTGATTCAGGTATTTCCTTCTCATCCTTTCCGATGATCCCGACTATCTAGAAATTTTGGCATATTCTGAGTTCCTTTTCATTCTCTGTAGGGTGTTGGCCCATCGAGGCATGTAGGAGGTGCATTTACATCCCATGAGGCTGGAGGAGATGATTTCGACAATGACGTTGAGCCCAGCAGTGGCAGAGATAATGATGATGACGATAAGGGGGTTCCATTCTAGTGCGCTTCAAAGCACCCTTGGGAAGGATGATCGGGTTCCATTTACCGTACCCTTAGGATTTTTTCTTTTTCATTTTTCTTTCTTTATTATAAAACATTGTATAGGGTGCCTTTGGAGGATGCCCCATGCCTTTGTAAAATCCATGTTTTTTTACAATTCCAAAATCTACATAGTATATGCACTGAAATCCAACATTCTTTTTGTCAATTTTTTTTTTAAAATTTTTATTATTTCTTTCAAATGCTTGGCCTTTTGTGCTTATCACATGAATCTGATAATGACTCTTTAAACAAGACTAAAACAAAGAATGAAACAAAATTACAACTCACAAATGCTATACAAACAACCTATCAAATCAACATGACTCTGACACTGATGTCGGAATGTCCCCATTGTCTCTAAAATATTATGCACCATGCCACGAAGCGGATGAGCCAAGCTGCTCTGTCAACACTGAGTGTGTGCACATAATGTTCAGGTTTTAGGGTTTCGCCTCCCTAAGCTGCAGTTGCTCTGTTTTGGCCTATAGATGCTCCACCTTGCATGAAGGCTTCATAACTCTCTTCTAATTAGTCTTTGACTCCAAACCTCTCTCTCTCTCTCTCTCTCTCTCTCTCTCTCTCTTTAGTTTTCAGTCATGTCTTCTCAAAATGGTTTGGTAACTTGGATGAATGGCCTAGACGGCGCTAAGCGAGCCAACTTTCGTAGCTATGAACTTAACTCCATATTTTATCTTAATCGATTGAACATTGACTGGCATTTCCTTTGTGCAGTGACTCGATTTTAGGACCTGAGCATTCATGTGTTCCGATTTGGACATCAAGAACTCTGCTC